TTTTTTCTTGTTGCGTGCAGCTTATTGGGGCCAAAACATGAAGTTCTAGGATTTACTTTTTAAAATAATAGGATGAATAATTTAGCAGTAACTCTGAATAAAAACAAGCACTGCATAAATCGGAGGTAGCTTGAGTTCGTTAAGAAAGCTTCAAATTCATGCTTATTGCTTCACCAAACAGACATCACATCTATTGCAGCAGCTCGGAAGCTTTATCAATTCTTAAGAGGATTTATGTTTTTGAGCGAGAAATCGTCAAGGATCAGTCCCAAATCCGCTTTTGCTATATACATAGCTGACGCTGAACATGCCTTGCTCCTCTTCAGTCGTCCTAATTTGACATTTTTATAACGATCCCTCGGGAATTTGCGATGAAGCACACATTCTTATCGTGTCTCGGAATCATTGCCTTCAACATCTTGAGTTGCTATGAGCGTCGCATATAAAACGATGTTTACATCGATATGATGATAACTTTGCTGTAGAAGTAAACACTTTCAAGGCACATTATTCTGCACATCACACCATTTCCAGATCCATGAACTGGTGCGATAACATTGAAATGGTTCATGACAAAGTAGTGGTGCTCAGTGCCTAAAAACGTTCAGAGATCCTTATTTCGTCAATTATGTACGTCCCAGTTCGTAAACTTGGCATCAACATCTGTGAGATGAATGAATGAGAATCGCAGTCATAATATCCATCTTTCGCGGAAAAAGAGACTTGTAAGGGAGTCAAGTGCTCCTGACTAGAGAGCAAGAAGTATCACGTCAAGCGTATTATATCAGCGACTGCCTCTGATGCAGTTTCCCACAAACAAATACGTGATCAGTTTCTTTCAACGACAATACTTTACAAAATAACCATATTGGTAGAAATTATTATTCAGCTAAATTCATTGAACTAGTCACAGGCACTCCTACCAGTCATCTAGTGTCTTGCTAAGTCTTTCAGTCGGCTCTAAGGCTTTTATCAGGCGCTCACGAAAGTCCGTTGCACCTTTCCATTTCATAACCGTTCAATTCGAATTTGACAATTCCAATCTTTCACGGATTTCTGATCACTATCACTGCGGCAAGTTGTTTCGTATAACGGTTAAACCGCTTGTTCTATTGATGCACCGAGGCCCCGGATCTCCTGAAATTCATTGTCAGCGCTGATGTGGCTCGAAGACTGGAGATCATTGTCTATTCAAACGCTGGTTAAAACATTGAAGAATTCGTTCCGATTGAAGAGGTCATCATAATTGTGAAATTTCTCGATGATGATGGTTTTCTCAGCGAATTCCGGAATTTTAGAAGATTGTTGCGAATGGAGCTTTGATAGCTACTTCCTACGAGCTTGACCAGTTGCCATTTCCTTTATCTTCTGACTCCATTTTCTTCTTTGAAGCCTCAAAGAACATTTGCTTACTTTTTCGCACTTGCAGGGAGCAAGATCATTATTATTACTCTCTGGTTATTCCCTGCCGCAAGGAAGAACATTTCTAGAATTTGATTAATATGCTCCCGGGAAGCAGCTGTTGAGTGCAATTCGAAATGCAACGCATGCACAATTGAAAAAGAAAGCTCATCGTGTTGTTGTTCACTCTTCTATAATCTAGTCTATCCGATGATTAGTCTTCTATAATCGTTTATTTTCCATATAGGGGTGTAGTAGCTACAATACTGTATTAATATAGCTCATATAAATAAAGTTCTCGAAGGGTTAAGAATTGTAATGACTACAATTTATTAATACGATTCCTTATTCCTTTAAACACTGATTAAATGAGCTATACTAATACAGTATTGTAGTCACGGCAATCCCGTATGGAAAATAAATGATTATAGAAGACTAATTACTGGAAAGTCTTCTGCTGGGTGTTTCAAGAAAAGCTTAAGAATGATGAGAAGTTGAAGCAGGCTTACAATGAGCATGGATGAAAAGAGGACGGCAAATTCAATAGTCTTACATACATATGTGCACCATGCAAGGGTCTGTGGCCTTGAGAATGAGCGAGAGTTGGAAAAAGAATGTAATTCCGGTCGATTTCTAATGATCCTGGTTATGCTGCTCTCATAAAAACCTCGGATCTAGTGATTTCTACTTTCTTTCATTAAGCAGCAGTTGAATTTTAAAAAACACTTGGCCCTTCAGTCCTTGGGTGCTAGGTGAGATAGCTCTCTATAAACTAAAAGAGAGTATTTTTACAAAAAAGCAGAGGAATCGTAGTTGGAAGAGAGATAGATGAGATTAAATTGACCGAAGATGGTAACACTCCTCCCTGCAGTCATTGATTGTCTTACTATTGAGTAACAACATGCATCATATGGGCTTAGCCACTTTACTAAGTTGAGGAATAAGTATACCATAAAGGAAAAATGTTTATGCAAGCCGCTGCCATCAGCTCAGTCAGCTGCGTCAGCATAGCTGCCATGTAATGGGTGTACCAAAAGAGTTGACGTGAAAATTGACGCCGACGTTTAATCGCCTCGTCAGAGTTACAAGTACCCAAACTGAGCTACCTTTGAACACGACTATTACCAATTTTCTATAACAGATCTCTAACTTTATCTCAAAGCCCTTACATAACATACTCACGCGCCATACCAATCTCTCCTTCTCATCATGCACTCTGTTACACTACTATGGCATCGTGACTTCTGGAAAACAGAAGGGACCGCAAAAGTAGGATTCAAATTCAAACACATGGATCTTGATTTGAGTTTAAATTCCCGTGGTCTTCCTCGACAGAAAGTGATCATAAATGATAAGCTCATGGGAGACACTAACTTCAGGCCGGCTGAGGGGACGAAGGTTGCGTTTCGTTTATTCAGAGAAGTTCGCCTTTGATGAGTGTATCTCAAGTTGGCTCGGTCTCTAATCAATGTGGAGCCATTGCCAATCTTCACTCAATGATGGGACCAAATTGGGGCGTCGGTGAGATGAGGTCGGACGATGGCGTCAGCCCCGAACTGCAACGAATAGCACAAAAGAAATGCCTGCGTGTTTTTATCAATATTATTAAGATGGAGGACCGCTGAAACACCACATTGATGACGAAACATGTTCGCCATCCCTCAGGCGTCGTTGGTTTTTGTTAGTTCTTAGCTGCTGACGCTCATCCTTGCCACAACTAATCCTCGTTTCTGTTCCGAGTGTGTGAACATTAATTATGTAAATAATGGCCCGATGTCCAATTTGGGACGGCTTGCGGGTGTGTTGGGCAGAGTGCGTGACAAAGGAAGTCATAATTCGAGTCTGCTCCGATAACTGATCGCAATATGATGATCGGACTGGTGCTCATTTGATATTAAGGTCCTAGAGAACAGACAGAGAAGTTCTTTTCCAGAAAAAATAATAAAAGTGCGTTAGATGAAGGCAGCACTTTTCAGAATTCACACGACAAAAGAGTCGTTAGTCCTTCAAGAGCTCGACAAACTCAATTTCCTCCATATTCATGATGTTCGCACAGCAGCTGAGCACTTAATGAATGAATGTCGTAATCCTTAAGCAAACGCACAGACTTTTCCACGATCATTCAGAGTCGTTTGAGCCATGAAAGGCAAGCCGTAATCGTTTTGAATCGCTCTTTGAAATTCTTCCGATTCCATCGTAACCGTTGCTTAGCAAATGATTCGAATTTGTTCTACTCTCACAAAACTGCTTGCATTTCACACATGTCAGCATAGTTGACATTCATATATACACGCATATATACATATTCCTCAATCCAGAGCAGAGGCAATGAAAATGAGCATGTTTTCGAGGTCTGCTTTTCCGATGACATGCCTTGTGTGAATTCGTGGAGTCAGGTAGATGAGAGCCCATCAAGTAAATGTATAGGTTTGTTGAGCAGTTTTGACAACGATGGACCTGTTCCTGCTTGCGGGAATCTTTGGAAGCAAAAATGGTCCATTTGACTGCAGAGTCATGGGGTCATAAAGGTGCAGAACAGCTCGAAATCCTGAAGCATGAAACGTGATAGAGTCAGCGAGGACAAGTGAGATGAAATTTTCCAAAAAGGCCGCAGCAGCAGTCGATGCAAAATGGACATTTAGGCGGCAGTAAGACCCGGATTTTCATGGACAGATAAGCCCAAAAACAGTCTGATTGCACGAACTCGACGGGATGTTAGTAGCTGGTAGTGATTGCGAGCGCTTTCACGTCCGCTGAAGCATTTCAAAGCGGGAGACACGTTAGACACGCGTAAATTCAATCAAATAGCTCAAATCTAATGCTATCTTAAGCACTAGACAAGAACTCGATGAAAAGAGAGTTCTCAGAGACGTTCGACGATGTTTCCTGCCGTATTCCCCATCAATTTGCATAATTCAAGCCTTTGAAGCGCACTTCTCTAGCAATTAGCTGTCACCGGTGTGTGTGTGTGTGCGAACAAGACTCAATGTGAGGTGAAAAATCGCCCTACACAACCATACGAGTGTGAATGTAAATGCGGTTCCACGCGTTCAACTTGACACACTCTGATTGATTCGTTAAAGGGACCGATGTGGGCAGAATGGACCCTTATAACGGCATTTTAGTAATAGCTAACTAAGAGAAATTGATGTGAATTGGAGTATGTCATTCACTGCTATTCGAATCCCGTGAGAAAAGACATTGAACGCGATGAACCTCGTACACCTCGTTCGCCTTCATTCAACGAAAGCAGCCATCGGAAGCAACTCAAATGCAAACAAAAGGGCAGAGATGATGACCGATCGACGATGAAAATGACAACTGTTGGCGACAACGATACACGCATCTAATTGATAGAAGTGTTCATGAATTTTAAAGGAGAAAAGCACAAACCAAAATAGAGAAACAAAATAAAATATTGTGCAAATCTGTGTTCACATTCAACGATCTTTCATAAATTTTCAATGCATAGCATTTGACAACAGGCGAAATGAGTCCGCCGACAGCACCTGATCTGTCACACGTTTGTGGCCGCGATATATCTTCCGTATGATTGGTAAAGAGACAAAATTCAGAGAATAAACCTTAAGCAATGTGTTCTAACTCACGAGAAATGGTGTGCCGGCGAATCGAGGCACTGGTTGCTCGCGAAATACAGGACGTCGCGGATCTGGTACCGGTACAGTGGCCTTTTTTAGTTTTGGACCGCCGTTAGTAAGCGGTGTAGTCTCGAGTACGGGCTCTAAAGCCGAATTCACAAGCGAATTATTATTGTGATGATTATTGTTGTCATTGGCTAGCGTAGCTAGCGAATGTGTCGACGGCAGTGGCGACCTACGAATAGGGGCAAACTGCGCTGAGGTGCTCGACGATAGGGACATGGGGAGGGGACCATAGGGCCCACACAACAGCTACTCGAAGGCCTGCAGCATCAAGTCGTCGGCAATCAAATAGTGAACGCACACTCGCACACCGGACAAGCAGGCACAGCAGCAACACAATCGGAACTTTTTACGTCTGAACGATGAAATAGATGCAGAAGACGACAGCCAGCGAAGAGCGCTGAGCTATGAAGATTTAGCGGCAGAGCGAGACGGCTGAAAAGCGTTTGTCACACGTCGTTCTGGGTGAGGCTGGAGTTGGATGTGGGTGTGTGTGCGGTATGTAGAGCACCTCAGGTGCCACTTCAGTGTGAGAAACGGCTTTTAGCAAGTACAAATAGTAGAGCAAGTAATAGCACGACTGGCGCTTGGGTGGGCGGCGCCATTCGAACGCGCGCCCAAGGGACGGCATAAATCAGTCTTCGGGCCAGCGCTAGGGCACAACGAGGGACGAAGGGCACTCATCGAAATGAACGCGTTTTTGACCTACCATTCAGCGAATAATTGTTACAGATTACTTGAAGATGCAAATCTCACTTTCAGCACTTGTACCCCATGCATAATAGGCGCTCTGGAAGATGTGAAACGGGAAAAAACAATGTGACGCATCATTGCATCCAAATGTCACGTAGGGTATTAGACACTCTCGGACGGTTGCACACCATGTCGGGAGGCAGAATCAATCTACGCACGCCATATTCTTTACTATGTCAACACAGAATAAGGAAATAATACCTTTTCTGTTTTTTTATGTGGCGTAATACACGATGCTTGCCATCTATTAATACCCTTACATAATCGGCTGTGGCAGGGCTGTCGGATTTGATTTCTTCCATGTCCATGTATGCAACGCTGAGCAGAGACCTCGAGGGGAACTGACGGCGATTCTGGAGGTTCAGTTTGCTCTTTGCGCTGGTAATTTGGTTACGTGCTATATTTACGAAAGAGGCAACCCGTATGGGCAATATCGCCGTCAGGCGTCTCCCATTTCGTTATGTGAAAACCACTCGACGGCGCAGGTGGGAATTTCTAATGCATTTTCAGCGTCTTATCTTGGTCCAAGCTGGAAAGAAAGAGAACGAAATAGAAAATCTCAAAGTCCCTTTCGTGAGTAAAAGCGCTTGGCTTCACCCAAGTCCCCCGAATGATATCGTACGAATAATAGTTTTTTCTATAAGCTTATCAAATTTTCCACTCGACATAGCCATTTTTCAAGGGCCAGCGTAAACAATTTTAGAATGATGAGAAAATTTTATCCCGGAATAAGATGTGTAATGGAGTTCTTCACAAGTTCTCCACTCGAAGAGTTCCTAGTGGTGGCTTGATTACATTCCAAACATAATCAATAACAATGTTTCCCCTCTATTCAAGCAGCCTCTCAGAAAGCTATTACGAGCATAGTGGAGATATTCAGAGTTGCTTTCAAAGTAACTCTTGAAAAGTGAAGAACTACAAATGCTCAGCTTCCTGTCTGGGTTTAGGAGATAAAAGAGGAGTTCCCGAGATTGAGGAACGTTATGAAGCCTCAAATGTACATGAAGTGAAGCCTTATGGCGACTGAGGACATTCTAAGAATCCATGGGAACTTGGCCACGAAGCACTTGGCAATCTGTCCCCTCAGTTCTGAATAGGAATGTGCTTTTTCAGCGAGAGCTCGGAGAATTTCAATCATTTTATCTGTACCACTAATGAGCTCGTTGTTCAATGTCAATTAGGCATTTAACAAAGTGATCGCGAGCGCTTCATAATGAGCAACTTCCAGGTCTTTGACGAATGATTGCTAGCTTGTAGTGTGGATGACGAATTCCACAACTTTTTGACAGGCAAATTACAAAAACTCTTGTACCTGCTATTGTCCTCATACCCAATTACACGACCTAGTATACCGTTAGGAGCGAAGCACTTGGCGTTTGGTAGACTTGTGGTCAAGCTCTTTTTACAGCCAAAATCCGATAACTGAACTCATCTACTCATTTATTCTTCAACAACCGTTTTTATCTAAAAGTTGTGCAGTCATCCTAGACATGCGCTTATTAATTAGCATATGCCTTTTGATAGAACTTGAGGGAAGAACGCTTCTTCCGTTGCCCAAAAACGATGACTGAGCAGTCCTGGAGTTCAAGATTACACACGAAGTAGCTATTAGCAATAGGCTTGACTACCTTGTTTGAAAGCTTTCGTGCGGTGATTCCTCTCATAGCCTGGTTTTCAGATTATCGTACTAATGCTCAAGGTTCTAGAGCAAGCATAGAGGGCTTTTATTTGGAATGAGGAGCTATTGACATTCCTTTAATGGCCGAAACGCGAATAGTTTCTGATCTGGCAGCTATTCCCAAAGCGGTCGTAAGTTTTGCAAGTTGTGAGTGATACGAGGTCAACGGTTGCCTCGCTGTCTCCATCGTGCTTAATGCCGTCCCGACAGAAAGCAGCGTTCAGTCGTAAAGTTTCAGAAAAGCGTCAACTAATGAAGCGGGGTGCTGCACTGAGTTGAATGGACGGCTTCGAAGAGGAGATTTACGCTTAAGCAAAGGTTCTGGGAGGCTTTTAGCTTTTTTCGGGACCACTAATAGCTGACACTAGAATTATTTAGGTAGGAGCTAGAATGAAGGGCAATAAATGCATTCCAGGAGTCAAGGGATTTGTCGCAAACATTGAGCAGCGGAATGCAATCGGAACCGCAAGATAAAGTCATTCGAGTGACTCGGCCAAAATGCATACCTGAAAGAAAATCCCGAGTCATGTCCACATCTTAACGCTAGCGATGAACCTCGGGCAGAGGTTGAAGGGACGCAAATCGGGTCATGAGCTACCAATCGCTGAGTCATCCAAAAATATGATTCCATCCAAATTGGAAACTTCAGTCCTAATAACTGAGTTCGCATGTAGTTTCAATCCATAGAACCTGTGTAGCCATATTCTAGGGATTACCGACTTTGAGTAATGCTCTACTCATCTCTGATGGATGCCCCGAGAGTCTGATTTTTCATTGCACAAGTTGATATCATTGTCACAAACAGTTTTCCACTCAATCGACTCCATCACAATACAAATGATTACAATTTCTTTGAGTATTTACTGATCTGAGTTTTAGAGCCCTGAATCTTCGTTGAATTTCAAGACTAGCTGCCGAGCGCTGTTCATTCGCGTTTTTCATGTCAACACGAAAACTAGGTGACGACAAAAGTTCCACTCACTTGAGAACTGAAAAACACGATGAAATATTCACGACCATCCTAATGCACATATACCAAATAATGCGACGGGCGCTGCTTGGGCCGCTGTTACTTCCCGCAAAGCGAACACAAATTGGGTGCAGCAGTGTGTGTGGGTGTGTGTGTGTGTATACATATTGAGGAGTCGCTTGGCTACCCATCCTTTAGAATCTCCCTTCTGTTAGTCAATGAAACACTGATTGTCGACGAGCGTTGACGACGAGACACCCGAAGAAACTGTTGGCGAAGCGCCATTGAGTTTTCCCCACTACAGGTCAAATGCATATCACTATCCCATTTACTTTGTAGTGAATGGTAAACTTTCCCTTAATACTACATTAGGAATCGGAAGAAGCCGTTACCGGTGGTTCGGTACCCAATGGTCGCGTCCGTATTATAGATGACCAACAGGCGAACAACTGTTAGCTTTTTGCTGAAAACCCTCGGTCGACTTCCGAATTATGGGACACTGGAAGCTGAAAGTGCGAGCAGGAAATGTGGAGTCCAGTGGAAACCTTTATCGACAAAAGTAGTCGAGCACGCAGAGTGTCGTAAGAGTCAATGATGCCAGAACCTATGGCCCTAGAACTTTCCAGTCGTTCGTGATGGCTAGGGATCATACATTATAATAAGTATATAAGCTGTTGGTAGAACAAGTTCTACAACATACTCAGTAGTGCAAAGTAAAAACAACATCGACAGAGGACTTGTGAAGGGGGAAATATTAGCGAAGCCTGCAAAACGTGAAAATAGCGCCAATATTATTAGAACAATCTGACTCGAGGGTAGACAAGATACTTTGTTTCTGATATTTGTATAAGTTATATGCGATTTTGACCTTTATCCTTATCCATGTCTTTCTAATACAGTAAAATACAGCTCACTTGACCATTAAATGGCAGAGCTGTCGTGAGAGATGGAACTGCTGTTTTGGGTGGCCTACTTGGACCATTTCCAAGAAGCCTAAGTCGTCAAAACATGTCGCTTCATCGGAAATTGAGCATCACTGTCGAAGCTTGTTTAGGCATTCAGACTACAGTCTCCAGATTCCGTCCTTTTGATGACATAACTGTTTACCCTGGTCGAAGTAGATTTTTGAGCTCTCAAATTCCATGGACATTTCTGTATCGACCACATTTTCAAAAAGATCACAAGCCTTCTCCAACGGTGCCGGCGATACGTCAGTGATAATGGCCTTCATTTGTAAATTCTTCCTCAGGATCACCAGACGACCTTTGCAGAAAGGGTTCAGGCGCCTTGCAATACTAGAAAGGCTCTGGAATAACCTCAGCAATTATTGAACAGCTTTTTTCATTACCAGGGGCATCTTCATTGATATTGGTCAAAGCCATGAAAATCCAAGGCTCAGCATGATAGTGACGCTGAGCAGCAACAAGCTATCACATCCTCAAAATTTTAGGCATATCTCAAAACCCAGGGAAATGGGAAGTTACAGGACTTGAACTCAACCAATTAAGCGTATATTTGCAATAAAACTAGCAAAACATGGGATTCTCACTTCACAATAAATCGTCTCCAGTATGCATAACTCTTCTTTCATTCAATTTTCCCCAAGAAAAACAGCGATGAGAGGACCGGTAGCAAAAACTGAGATTGCCGGTCCAACTAATGCAGTTGATACCCTGTTATTCATTGTTCAATGGCGAAAAGAGCCGGAGTAAAGTGAAAGAAAAACAGAAACACATGTCATAAAGAAAAACTGTGGGATGCATAGTTACATTAAGCCAATCCTTCACAGCGACTTGACTCCTAGATTTGATTGAAGAT